GTCGCTAAATCGACAAGTGCTTTCGACAATAATTATTTTTGTCTTCATCAGGTCGTTAAAACATTTAAAATCCTTTTTTGAATACAAATAACAAATCGTTCCAAGCGTATTAACGTTTTGGAATGAAAGCAACGGTAGAACATAATAAAACTTTTAAATGAAAACATGCGCGATTATAATGTGCATGCGTTAAACGCCTCCAAATTGTGGAGCTATATACGTTGTTTTAGATAGTTATACAAATTGATCCACAAAGGGGACAAATCAAGTGTGGGAGTGTTGCAGGGCTTTAATTTGTTGGTAAGGAGGGCTTCCCAAATATACACAAGATTTCTGTTATTGCAATGTATTAGTATGGCCACTTCGCCCCACAATGGGGTATGTTGCTATCAATATTCCATCAGGGAAGGCAAGAAGGAAACCGAACTTGCTAGAATTGCATTACAACACCAACATACTCCATTGTGGGGCAAAGTGGCCATACTAAGACATTGCAATAACAGAAATCTTGTGTATATTTGGGAAGCCCTCCTTACCAACATACTAAAGCCCTGCAACACCTCCACACTTGATTTGTCCCCTTTGTGGATCAATTTGTATAACTATCTAAAACAACGTATCTAGCTCCACAATTTGGAGGCGTTTAACGCATGCGCATTTAATCGTGCATGTTTTTATTTAAAAGTTTTATTATGTTCTACCGTTGCTTTCATTCCAAAACGTTAATACGCTTGGAACGATTTGTTATTTGTATTCAAAAAAGGATTTTAAATGTTTTAACGACCTGATGAAGACAAAAATAATTATTGTCGAAAGCACTTGTCGATTTAGCAACATTTATTTGTAATTTAACTCTTATATGTTAGAAGTTTCTCCTGATAGAGAATTCTTATTGCCTTATATTTTAAATCATGAATCATGTATTACAGTGATCTAGTTTGTTGTGTATATATGGCTTTTATTAAATTTATATAATTATTTATCACACAACTTTAGATGAACTCATAGAACAACTTTTGAAATTCAACTATATTCCTAAATTTTAAATATTGTAACATTCACATGTACAGTACATTCCAGACGATATTAAACTTTATAGATTTGCAACAGAGCCATTAGTAGATCAAAAACATTTGTTAAAGTTGAATTAAAGCTTACTGGATTTAAAATTAAGGTTAATAGTTGTATGTGTTGCAAACAATTCATTCAGTATTTCTGAATAATTGTTATTTAGAACATTTTCAGTACTTCAAAATTAATTTCTTTGAACCCTATAAATATAGTTTTTTGTTGCTACAACATATTCTACACATATTCCTTATTTTAACAGATGACTTTACATATGAGTCATCAAGTAAGTCCAAATAACAAATCTTTCATTATTGGACTTCGGCTTAGGACTCCTTTAATGTTCTAAAATCTCATATTGGAATGGTTTCTTTATTAAATTACTTTGCAAAAGCACATTCTAAAAATCCAACAGTATGTCATGCAGTTTGATCTAAGATGTTATATGTTGAAAATTATACATAATTTAATTCTGCATGTTTGTTTAAGCAGAATCCTGAAAGGCATCTTGCTTTTATGCAAGTTGGCATTCAAAAAGGTAAGGTAGGAAAGAAATTGAAATTTAAAAAATTGTCTTTATCAGATAACATGAAAAGAACGAAAATATTTTAACATATTTAAAAGAGAAAAGTAGAGATAAATTGCTAATTGGCATCAAGAAATTGAAATAAAACAATTGTGTTTGTAATTTGATGTCAATTTTAGAATATTTTCTATAAGAAAGTATTATAGTTAATTTTTATTTTTAATCTACCTAAAATATAATTGTAATAAGAATAGAATAATAATAGTGTTTTAACACATTGAATATTATAAACTTAGGCACCTGCTTGGGGGGGTCAGACACCTACAACACAACTGTCTGCTTTATCATTAACAGAAATTCAAAAATTACAAGAAGAGAAAGAAAAGCAAGAACAGAATGAGGTACGATCTGATATTTTGATAATTTATTTCTTGTAATTTTGCATAAAATTTAATTTGAAAATTTCTAATGCTTTAGAAACGATTACAACTACAGCTACAGCAAATGCAAGTTTTACAACAGACTCAATCAAACAAAAGTTCACTAACTTGGGCACAGAGGTAAATATAAGTTTAAATAGTTGGTGCATATAATCTTTATGATAACATTCTATAAAAAAAAAAAAAAACACTAACTTAACAGAATGTTGAAACAAAAATGTTTATTGATTTTTTTAAAGAAAATTGTAATGCTATCTTAATCTAAAGTTTAATGAAAACTATAAATGAAAGAAATTGACATTGCATTAACTGTTTACTTTTTAATAAATTTAAGAAATAGAAAATTTAGCTTGAAATGGAAGTTTTAATTTTTCATATGCTTTAAAAAAATTTATGGGTTTTTTTTTCATATTTCATCACTTATAGTAAAGACATAACATCACAATTTTGAAAAATTTGCTTAAAAAATATATGGATGTTTTTATGCCATAGATCTGGTAACTGCAATGCACCTGTGAAGAGTTTGTTGGAAATTCACATGCGTTAAACGCCTCCAAATTGTGGAGCTATATACGTTGTTTTAGATAGTTATACAAATTGATCCACAAAGGGGACAAATCAAGTGTGGGAGTGTTGCAGGGCTTTAATTTGTTGGTAAGGAGGGCTTCCCAAATATACACAAGATTTCTGTTATTGCAATGTATTAGTATGGCCACTTCGCCCCACAATGGGGTATGTTGCTATCAATATTCCATCAGGGAAGGCAAGAAGGAAACCGAACTTGCTAGAATTGCATTACAACACCAACATACTCCATTGTGGGGCAAAGTGGCCATACTAAGACATTGCAATAACAGAAATCTTGTGTATATTTGGGAAGCCCTCCTTACCAACATACTAAAGCCCTGCAACACCTCCACACTTGATTTGTCCCCTTTGTGGATCAATTTGTATAACTATCTAAAACAACGTATCTAGCTCCACAATTTGGAGGCGTTTAACGCATGCGCATTTAATCGTGCATGTTTTTATTTAAAAGTTTTATTATGTTCTACCGTTGCTTTCATTCCAAAACGTTAATACGCTTGGAACGATTTGTTATTTGTATTCAAAAAAGGATTTTAAATGTTTTAACGACCTGATGAAGACAAAAATAATTATTGTCGAAAGCACTTGTCGATTTAGCAACATTTATTTGTAATTTAACTCTTATATGTTAGAAGTTTCTCCTGATAGAGAATTCTTATTGCCTTATATTTTAAATCATGAATCATGTATTACAGTGATCTAGTTTGTTGTGTATATATGGCTTTTATTAAATTTATATAATTATTTATCACACAACTTTAGATGAACTCATAGAACAACTTTTGAAATTCAACTATATTCCTAAATTTTAAATATTGTAACATTCACATGTACAGTACATTCCAGACGATATTAAACTTTATAGATTTGCAACAGAGCCATTAGTAGATCAAAAACATTTGTTAAAGTTGAATTAAAGCTTACTGGATTTAAAATTAAGGTTAATAGTTGTATGTGTTGCAAACAATTCATTCAGTATTTCTGAATAATTGTTATTTAGAACATTTTCAGTACTTCAAAATTAATTTCTTTGAACCCTATAAATATAGTTTTTTGTTGCTACAACATATTCTACACATATTCCTTATTTTAACAGATGACTTTACATATGAGTCATCAAGTAAGTCCAAATAACAAATCTTTCATTATTGGACTTCGGCTTAGGACTCCTTTAATGTTCTAAAATCTCATATTGGAATGGTTTCTTTATTAAATTACTTTGCAAAAGCACATTCTAAAAATCCAACAGTATGTCATGCAGTTTGATCTAAGATGTTATATGTTGAAAATTATACATAATTTAATTCTGCATGTTTGTTTAAGCAGAATCCTGAAAGGCATCTTGCTTTTATGCAAGTTGGCATTCAAAAAGGTAAGGTAGGAAAGAAATTGAAATTTAAAAAATTGTCTTTATCAGATAACATGAAAAGAACGAAAATATTTTAACATATTTAAAAGAGAAAAGTAGAGATAAATTGCTAATTGGCATCAAGAAATTGAAATAAAACAATTGTGTTTGTAATTTGATGTCAATTTTAGAATATTTTCTATAAGAAAGTATTATAGTTAATTTTTATTTTTAATCTACCTAAAATATAATTGTAATAAGAATAGAATAATAATAGTGTTTTAATACATTGAATATTATAAACTTAGGCACCTGCTTGGGGGGGTCAGACACCTACAACACAACTGTCTGCTTTATCATTAACAGAAATTCAAAAATTACAAGAAGAGAAAGAAAAGCAAGAACAGAATGAGGTACGATCTGATATTTTGATAATTTATTTCTTGTAATTTTGCATAAAATTTAATTTGAAAATTTCTAATGCTTTAGAAACGATTACAACTACAGCTACAGCAAATGCAAGTTTTACAACAGACTCAATCAAACAAAAGTTCACTAACTTGGGCACAGAGGTAAATATAAGTTTAAATAGTTGGTGCATATAATCTTTATGATAACATTCTATAAAAAAAAAAAAAAACACTAACTTAACAGAATGTTGAAACAAAAATGTTTATTGATTTTTTTAAAGAAAATTGTAATGCTATCTTAATCTAAAGTTTAATGAAAACTATAAATGAAAGAAATTGACATTGCATTAACTGTTTACTTTTTAATAAATTTAAGAAATAGAAAATTTAGCTTGAAATGGAAGTTTTAATTTTTCATATGCTTTAAAAAAATTTATGGGTTTTTTTTTCATATTTCATCACTTATAGTAAAGACATAACATCACAATTTTGAAAAATTTGCTTAAAAAATATATGGATGTTTTTATGCCATAGATCTGGTAACTGCAATGCACCTGTGAAGAGTTTGTTGGAAATTCAACAGGAGGAAGCACAACGAATTGCTTGGCAACAGAAACAGTTAAAACAGCAGCAGCAACAACAACAACAACAACAACAGCAGCAGCATACAGTGAGAAACAAT